GGGGGAACGACGGCGATCAGGTAAGTAGCCCCAGACCGTTTGGACGGTTCAGGACCGTCATCGGTCCTCAAGGCAAAAATGCCGATGACGGTCCTGAACCGTCCTCGGTCCTTAAGGGGTTAAACAGTATAACAGGCTGGAAGGGCCATCAGGAATCCAAAATCTGTTATCATACTGTAAATTCACTCTTTGAGTGCTGGAGCAATTCATCCAATGCATCACTGAAAGGGTGTATCTGTTCCTTTGTAACTGAGGAAAGAGCTGGACTATAAGTCTACTCTTAAACTCTCTCTTTTATATATATATAAACAAAGTAGTAGGTAATAGCACTCCAAGGACTTCAAAAAGTATATGGTGAAAAAAACTTAGCTTTTATTCAGCAGCTGCCACACAGAATCAACGTTTCAGTTCTAGTACAGAACTTTCATCAGGATAAACCAACATTAATATAACAAACAAATAAGTACATAGTATACAAAATATGAACTTATTTGTTTGTTATATTAATGTTGGTTTTTGTAATGCACCTTATCCTGATGAAAGTTCTGTACTAGAACTGAAACGTTGATTCTGTGTGGCAGTTGCTGAATAAAAGCTAAGTTTTTTTCACCATATACTTTTTGAAGTCCTTGGAGTGCTATTACCTACTACTTTGTTTTTTTATGTTATTTGCTTTACTAGCACCGGGCATTAACTTACTATCACAGGAGTGCAAGTATTTGGACATTTTATATATATATATATACATCTTATATACAATGTCATACTAAGTGTATTTTATATTAATATATACACATATTAATATAAAAATACACTTAGAGTAGAATTACACATGTATATAATATATATATGATAATGGGTAGGACTGAAACGTTGATCGCAGTTTTTATGAATTGACAATAAACTTTGGACTTTTAATTGGAAAAACCGTGAGTGCAACCATTAATTTGTATTTTTTGTATTTTTTGGCTATATATGGTTGGCACCCGGTCGTGAAGGGAAATTCAGCGTGAGTGCAGGAACTGATTTTTATCTTTTATATATATATATATATATATATATTTACCTACATATGTATATATATTTAAATTCTACGTGCATATTTATGTAATATTTTTACATAATTAAGTAATTTTATTGATTGCAATTTGGGGGACCTGCCTGACAACCCAGGTCAAAAGTCCAGAGAATTTAATTTGCTTGCACTATATTTAATCCTGTAACTTTCCAAGACACCCTAAAACCAGTACATGTGGGTGGGAGAGGGAGAGGGGTCGTACTGTTTAACTCAGTAGACTTCGCTGAACACAAATATTAGTGTTGCAAAACAGTAAAACATATCACAGTGATGATATTGTCAGTGAAAGTGACGTTTTTTGCATTTTTACACACAAATGAAACTGTTTTGAAACACTAATATTTGTGTTCAGAAAAGTGTCCTGAGTGTAACAGTACCCTGCATGTACAGGTTTTATAGTGTTTTTGAAAGTTACAGGGTCAAATAGATGGCCCATTTTTTCACATTGAAATTTGCCAGATTGGTTATGCTGCCTTTGAGACCATATGGTAGCCCAGAAGTGAGAATTATCCCCATGATGGCATACCATTTGCAAAAGAAGACAATGCAAGGCATTGCAAATGGGGTATGTTCAGTCTTTTGTAGAAGCCACTTAGCATTCATAATAGTTTTTTTACATTTTAAACACACAAACAAATATAAATGCTAACTTTGGCCAGTGTTTGTGACTAAGTGGCTACTAAAAAAGACTGGACATACCCCATATTGAGTCATCTACTTTTAAAAACATATATGGTTTGATGGGGTAAATTACATTGACCAGCTTCAAAAATGTCCCAAATAAGACATGGGTGCATGATGACCAGCTGTGAAAATTCCAAGTTGGAAAACTGGAATGCGCACCCTAAAAATAAGGTCTTTTAGCCCCCAGAGAACCCGATACACCTATACATGGGTGGTATCACTGTACTCAGGAGATGTTGCTGAACACATATTGCGGTGTTCTTTGGCAGTTAAGTTCTCAGTACATGTATTAATAAATTGCTATATGTGACAAAAAAAATCACAAATTACTATATATATATTTTTTTTTATTTGGCATAGATTGGTGGTAAAATGGTTGCATGAAAAGATTCAAAATAGCCCAAGTGTAATACCTTAGGTTGTCTTCTTTAAAAAAATATGTACATGAGAAGGGTTATTCAGAGATTCATGACAGATAGTGTTACAATGTAACAATTTAATTTTGAAAAAAAATTGTTTGGAAATAGCAAAGTGCTACTAAGTACATGTTAACATTGGGTATTTCTAAACTCAGGACAATATTCAGAAACTATTTAGCACGGGTGCTTTTTGGCGGTTGTAGATGCAGTTATAGTAAATTATATAATATGATGAAAATAAAATAATCTTTAGAAAGACCATTTAATGGCAAGAAAAAGGTGTATAATATGTGTGGATACAGTAAATGAGTAAGAGGAAAATTACAGCTAAACACAAGCACCGCAGAAATTTAAAAACAGCCCTGGTCCCAAATGGTAAGAAAATTGAAAAGCGGTCTGGTCACTAAGGAGTTGAAGGACTGAAAATACTGCAGGTTTCAAAAAACAAGGAAGATTAAAAGGCAATTTTATTTATTTATTAATGCCCATTTAAACTTATGTTTCAAGAATCTTTAACATCTAACAATAAATGGCCTTATGTGACCCAAGATTTATTGGATAATGCAAAAATAGTTGCCACTATTCTTGGAAACAAATCATGAACAATACTGTACGATTGTTCCTTTACTTCATAAAAAAACTATTCTGTTTTTCAAAATAAAGGCATTTTACAGTTCTAGACATTTGGAAATGTTTTTCCTCTGTAAGAAGTGAATCCAAAAGTTAAATTTGATCATCAAACATAAACAGTTTTAAAATATAGTAACAATCATATTTCATTTCAGTAAAATGTCTTCTTGGCAGGTGTTTGATATACAATCCCAACACCACCTTGCACAGAACCAATGTGCAAATTGGTGTCACATTAAATATGCACCTAACCCTTTCAGCACCAAAGGTATGGGCGACAATTCATTGTTTTCTCTCTAGCACCCAAACTGTTAATTGTACTGATGTGTAATATGTCCTGCACATAATTTTACCTTTTTTAAAATGAGATGTGAGCAAGTAGATATGTTGGTTGATAAATGTCTGTTTTTTTAATCATAAATATTTGATATTATAATTAATAAAATAATACCTACATCCTCCTGGAGATATATATTGTTTTCTATTTCCTACATGTTTTTAATCGAATACATTGTTTGTAAGTTTATAGTATTGTGTATATACTTAAAAGCTGTGGGTATCTACATCATAATTTACAAGGTTACTTACTAAAGTGAAAATTCAAAGTGAACTCAAATTCAAATTTAAGTCCACAATAGACGAACTGGAAAATTTCTCTTAATCAGCTATACATTTAGTTCAGCTACTTTGGTCTCAAATTTAGAATTCAATTTGTATTCTGCCTTTTTTTTCGTGAATAACTCTGATAATGTTTCTGAGGTCTTTTTTTCTCTCTAGTCGCAGTCCAGGAGGTGGGAGGGTCTGGGAGGGAGGGTCTGCTGCTGATTGGCTGGAATGTGTCTGCTGACTGTGAGGTACAGGGTCATAGTTTACTCAATGATGAGTCCGTGGCGAACCGTTCGTGGCGAACCGTTCGCGAACCGTTCGGCGAACCGTTTGGGACATCACTAAATATCACATAAACCAGTCTTACAAAGGTAATTAATTTCAGAAATTGGTATGTATTCATGATGATGCTATTTTCATACAAAACCTGATATAATTGGTTATGTTTCTGATGTTGTGTCTTTATGCTATTTTCAAAGTAAACATATTATAATGATAAATTATATTAGGAACTGATTCATAGCTCACTGTGTTGCTATTTTCCTCACACAAGGGTGAGATGTGCTTGCAGAGGAATGTAAAAACAGCTAAAGAGCATGCACTGTGGATGCTGTGACAGAAAGCATGTGTGCTGACTACATGTCAAGAACTGACTAAAAATGGAGGGCCAACACTGTATGTAGATTTTAAAATAAATATATACATTGTGCTAGCAACCAGGTTTAGCATCAGACTAATGTTATTAGTACATTTATGCAGGGCCGGACTGGGAATTAAAAGCAGCCCTGGAAAAAAAATATTTACCAGCCCCATAATGAGTCGCGCCAGCATAGTGTGCAGATACAGAGTTAGAACAGATAACTTAAAATTAAAAAGTACTTCAACGTAAAAAGCGCACTCATAGGCTTCAAAATAAACAAAAGTGCAGATTTATTTTAAGCAGACGTGCCTTTGCATGTAATCAATGTTTCAGTCCAACTACCTTGACATATTAAGGAAAGCTTGTTAATGGGACTGAAATGGTGAATGTATGTAGGGCACAACTGTAAAAAATGTTTATTTTGAAGTCCTGTGGGTGTGCTCTTCACTTTAAATATGTTATTGTGCTGGAGTATGCACCTAGCAACAAGACTGGGCTAATATCTGCTCATTACATATGGTACATATTAATGAAATTTCTCTGTGTATTATGCATTTATAAATGTACATTAATATGTGTAAATATAATAGGTATATATATATATATATATATATAACTAATACACACATTAATATACATGTCATATACTAGTGGCGGATCCAGAGCCTGAGCCTAAGAGGGGCACTTGTAGATTATTTAAAGAAATATTCCATGCACAATAACCACTACTCCTCTGTGTAGTGGTTATGGTGCCAGGAGCGTCGGCACCCCCTCCCAGAGTAAGTCGTCAAACCGTTTAAGAACAGTTTGACAACTTACCTGGAGTCTGCTGGGTTATGGGGCTGTAGTAGGGTATAGGAGCAGTGGTGCAATGTGTGTGAAAGGTTCAGTGTGTGGGTGGGCAGTGTGTAAATGTGTATGGTGTGTGTGGGGGGGCAGTGTATGAATGTGTATGTGTGTGTGGGGCAGTGTGTGTATGGGGCTAGAGTTCACTCCTACTACTGGGACCACCAGGAAGTGGTGAGATTGAACTCTAGCCCGTAGCTCCAGGGCTAGAGTTCACCCTCGTGAGAGCCGGAGCGTTGCCCCAGGTCCTCTCTTCCTCCCCTGCCGACTGGCTGCACGGTGCCTGTGGAACGGGGAGGGAGATCGGCTGCAGGGGAAAGCCTTAGGGGGGGAGCCCGTTGCCCCCCCCCATCCACCAGTGATATATACTGCCCCCATGTGTGTCTCTTTATCTCCAGCCCCTCTGTGTGCCTTTTTGTCTCCCCCAGTCACTCTGTATGTTTCTTTCTCCCCCTCACTGCTCCTCTGTGTCAATGTCTCCCCTCTCCTTCCCAGTCTCTCTCTTCCCCCTCTGCCTCTTTCTTCCCCTCCCCTTGTGTGTCTCTCTCTCATTTCTCCCTCTTTGTCTATCTCTTCCCCCTCTTCCTCTTTTACCCCTTTTCCCTGTGTCTCTTCCTCCCCCCTTTCCCTGTGTCTCTCCCTCCTCCCCATCTCCCTCCCTCCCCCCTTTCCCTGTGTCTCTCCCCATCTCTCCCCCCTGTATCTCTCCCTCCTCTCTCTCCCTCCCCCCTTTCCTGTGTCTCTCCCCATCTCTCTCCCTCCCCCTTTCCCAATGTCTCTCCCCCTCCTCCCTCCTCCCCTTTCCCTGTGTCTCTCCCCATCTCTCTCCCTCCCCCTTTCCCTGTGACTCTCTCCCTCCTGTGTCTCTCCCTCCTCCTCTATTCCCTCCCCCCCCCCTTTACCTGGAGAGTCAGGGGCCGGCCGCGTTCCTGGCTGGAGCCGCCGGGCCGGGTGGCAGCTTCCCCGGTCCGGTGGCCCTGCTCCTGTCACTGCAGTGGCTGATGGAGGAGGAGCATGTCTCTGTACCATGCTCCCTCGCGGTTCCTGTGCCGGGAGCCGCGAGGGAGCATGGTACAGAGACATGCTCCTCCTCCATCAGCTACAGCAGTGAGAGGAGTGCCGCCGGACCGGGGAAGCTGCCACCCGGCCTGGCAGCTCCAGCCAGGAACGCGGCCGGCCCCCAGGTACCGTGGCCCACCGGGATACCGGGAAATTTATGCAGCCACTGGTTGCAGAAGTACTAGTGTTAGTCCCTTGGGTAGTGATTAATCAATGTACAAGTCATGTGGATATGTTGTAAGGATTTATAAGAGTTCTTACTATGAAATATTCTTAAATATTCTTACTATGCCTGTATCCTCTTCCTTGGAATTACTACCTCACTAATTATAGTTAATACAATTGTTTCAAACATTTACTTTATGTGTTTTCAGGAGAAGCAGGAGGATAAATTGGTGATTTGGAATAAATGGAAAAAGGGATCATGTATTGGAAGATCTGGAGACCCCCAAATAGGGACTTTAAAATAGAGGAGATATATTCAGATTATACCAAATGTACAATATGATATAGAACTCTTAAAATATATTAATAAACAATGTCTTCAGTAAAATTCACCTACTCTACTGTTTTAGTAATACTCTACTGACACTTTCATTTGTTATTCATTAATAATTGAATTTTTTAATAAAAAAAATAATTTAAAAGTGAAAAATAAAATACGTTCAACGAGTGCCTGCATATGCTAAGTTAAAAATTAAATCTAATAAACATGGAAACAGTGCAGAAATAGTTCTTAACAGAGCACTCCAAGCACCTTAACCACTACAGCACTCTATAGTAGTTATGGTGTCAGGAGTGCCATGATCCTCTATCAGTGTAAACAGTAAAACCGTTTACTACTGGTTTTATTTTTTTACATGGGTCCACTGGGCTGTGGTCACTTTCTCCATGGAGAACCATGATTTCCTGCATTCAGCTTCTATTAGCTTTCATGAGCTAAACCCTGCCATGCAGGGCCAGCGCATTAACTGAAAGTGTCAGATGATTTCTCAATACCAATAAGCTAATACTTTCTCTCAGGTGTAATTCAATTCTCTAAGAGTAGGTTCAAATCCCAGATATGTTATCAAGCCTTTAGAAAATGATTTGAATACTTACCTTGGGGGAATGGGTGCCAGAGCACTCTTGGCTCCATTACTGCTACAGCCTACTGTGGTGGTTATGGTGCTTAGTGTTCCTTTAAAAAGGCCACTATTGTTTTGTTGACTTTTTATGCATGTAGCTATACATTTGCAGATGATGCCGAATGATTACAATAGAATGAGCTGTATTTGATTAAAATTTGAAAATTGGCACCCAATTACAAGAATCCACTTGAAAAAAATTAAAATATATTTTTATACAGCAACCTATTAAAGTGAATTCCACATGATGCCATCGGTAGTCTGATATTATCCAGGCTTTGGTTACGTTGCAGGTATCGTAAATAGAAGTAACAAAATGAGCTCAATGGATAAAAAAATCATGTTTATTACTGAGCTAAAATGTTTGTTGATTGTTGATTGTTGGGATAACCTCTGGAATATATTTTTAATGGATGTATTAGTGTACAAGCAGTAATTTATACTATGGTCAGATGTGAGTCTGTAGATTAATAACAAACATCCACAGAACATTTGATTAGCAGAGAATGCAGCATTTTATTGATGTGTTAAACCAATTTAAATTTGAATACATTGACATTCCAATGTGGATCGTTTAACTGTTGTTTTAGATAGAAATATGTGAGTGTCCTTTGAAACTGACTACACATTTGTAAGAATCATGACTTGAACTAAGCACATGTAATTTTTGTCAGGTTTATCTTTGCAGTGATAAACTGTATGTCTAAGAGAATACGGAGAACTTACTGTACCCATAAATTGCAAGGTAAAAATGAACTATGGAACTGACATTCGAGGCAAAAGCTGACTCTCTGCCTACCATAGGGATGCACAGCACATTTCATTAAGGTGTGCACCCAGAGGTATTCCTCTATGTATTTTCTGATTTACTAAGAGACGAATATTTATTAAAAACACCATAACTGCTACAGCCTCCTCCAATGAGCTGTGCAGACCTGTGCTCATTGGCTGAGAACATCAACTGAGCTCTCTCAACCAATGAATGCAGTCCAGTAGATGTCGTGATTTAGCATTATGAAGACATCCAGTGTCTTCTGCAGGAGAAAACCTTTGATCTTCCTGTGGGCCCATGTAGGGTGCGCATGCCCCTACACAACTTTTGCAGCCTCCATAAGAACTTTTAAAGATATAAATTCTGTTTTGTTTTATTTTAAATCCAGAAACATTTAGTCAAGAGTTCTGATGGTATAAAATAGCTCAAAGTTATTTTGTTACATCATTTATTTACTGATTATTTATACTAGATATAATATTATCAGCAACATGTATTTGAATATTTGGTCATATAAGAGGTTAACAGTACAAACAAAGCAAAGTAATAACATGTTAAAGTTGCTGGCAAGTAACAGTAATTGTACATTTCCCTACCATTATCATGGTTTATAAGAATGTGGATGCAACAGATGCCAAAAATGCAATTAGACAACAATTTGATTAAAACAGGTAATGTTCTTTATATGTCATATTTGCCACTAAATTAAACTGGACTAAGCAAAGAAATATCAATTATGGCTTTACATGTACGATAACATTTGGTACAAGATATAAGTGTGCTCCATCATAAAAAATGTCTTGTAGTGAGTTGGTACATAGAGCTACAAAATGTAGGACAAAATAGCACAACTGAAAATAGCTAAATATCATCTGGCATTCAAGCTTACAAATAATACAGATAGACATGAATTTACAGTATATACTCGAGTATAAGCCGAGTTTTTCAGCATAATTTTTATGCTGAAAAAGCCCCCTCGGCTTATACTCGAGTGAGGGTCTGTTTTATGGCAACTTACATAATACAGACCAGGACCGCCAGGCTCATAACAAGCCCGGCGGTCCTTGGGGGGAGTGGGGGAGGTGGGGGGGCCGCAGCAGCTCTTACTTACCTTCCCAGCAGCTCCCTTCAGCTCCCCTGTCTAAATCTCGCGAGTCCCGCGGCCATCAGAGCGTTGCCACCGGTTACCATGGCAAGGCTCCGTGCGGCACACAGGGATGCTGAAGGGAGCTGCAGGGAAGGTAAGTAAGAGCTTCTCCGGGCCCCCCTACTGCTCAGTACATGCCACTGGACCATCAGGGATTGACATATCCCCCCTCCCTGGCCAGGTAACAAGCAGGGTGTGGGGACAAAAAAAAGTTTACAAAAATTAAATATTTAAATAATAAATAAAAATATTAAAATAATAAAAATACCCTCCCCCCCACCCAGTTTACACACAGTACACAAACACACACACTGTGCATTATATACACACACACTGCATTCACACAAACACACACTCTGCATTATAAACACACACACATTTTGCATTCATTATATACACACACACTCTGCATTATATACACACACACTCTGCATTCATTATATACACACACTACACATACACACACTCTGCATTCATTATATACACACACTACACACACACACACTCTGCATTCATTATATACACACTAAACACACACACTCTGCTTTCATTATATACATACACTACACAAACTGCATTCATTATATACACACACTACACAAACACACGCTCTGCATTCATTATATACACACACTACACAAACACACATACTCTGCATTCATTATATACACACACTACACAAACACGCATACTCTGCATTCATTACATACACACACTACACAAACACACACCCTGCATTCATTATATACACACACTACACAAACAGACACGCTCTGCATTCATTATATACACACACTACACAAACACACACACACACTGCATTCATTATATACACACACTGAAAATAAAAATTCAAAAATATTTAACCTACTGATGCCTCAATTAATGTAATTTTATTGGTATCTATTTTTATTTTGAAATTTACCAGTTGCTGCTGCATTTCCCACCCTAGGCTTATACTCGAGTCAATAAGTTTTCCAGTTTTTGTTGTGATAAAATTAGGTGCCTCGGCTTATATTCGGGTCGGCTTATACTCGAGTATATACGGGTACTTTATATGGAGAACAATTAAATAAAATAAACATGTGTTAAAAGTAAAGGTTAGGTGTTTCTAGCATAAAATTACAGATAGTCCATGACGTACTAAAAAGCTTTATGATAATTTAACAATTAAATTAGAAACTTTTGGACAAAATAGGCAAATTGTAAGAAAATACCTAATGTTCCAATTATAACAATTGTTTTGTTTGTGAATGAATCAGAATTTACTATTTAGTTATCAGATTCCTAAATCAATGTTAATGTATTCATTTGCAATAACATGCTATTTGCCTAAAGCTTTCATTATTCAGAAGCATTGTGACTTTGCACAGTTTAAATAAAAATAATCTTGGATGAATCCTGGTCATCATACAGTACAATGATCAGAAAACATAAATAATTAAAAAATAATGTATACTCGCATGGCAAATCTTCATACTTAACATAACTGTTTCAGAGAAAGTGCAAATTAATTTTGCAAGCTTTAATCTCCTATTGTAATTAAATTGTTATGCAATT